TGAATTGTTACATCCCATCATTGTGTTGCATCCATCAGAGCCGAAACCTATGATGTTTTCCGTAGGAATCTCATACTTTTGAAATGAACCTATAACAGTATTAAAAAGTTTTTCGGCATTTGCAACATGATCGGTGGTTTTCTCATCAAATAATTGAATCAAATTCCAAAACCGAGTGATAACTTTACCAATCATTGGATCAAAATACCTGACCACTACAGCTACTGTTTTTACTACAGCAATATCTGTGCTTTCGTCTATCAAAATTGAAAACATTTGTGATTTCAAGTCACTGATCAAGTTTTCTTTTTCAGTTTCCCCAATACAGTTATTTATCACAGCTTGAACTTTAGTTCTTTTTAATCTAATATCTTTGGCTATCTGAGAATCTGGGAACAACTTTGGTAACAAATCTGCTAAGTGATTCATGACATTATGAGATACCTTATGCTCAGCAACAAAAGCAGCTAATTTTATTTCTGAAGTCTTTACCAATTGCTTTTCATTAGTTGGCATGGATTTAAAAACGCTTACTATAGACTGTTGTTTTTTGGACGTTGAAGCACTACACCTCTTTAAATTATTCACGTGTTTAGTTCCTTCTTTGTGGCGTTTTATTACACTTATTTCGGCACTGAAAGATGTATTGCAAACATTGCAGACCGCCTTCGATAAGTCCCTATTATCCTTTCTTAGCCAGTCACTATATTCTTTATTCAGCAACCATTCTTCCCGAAACTTCTGCTTATAACGCATTCTCTTAGCCGGTACTCGTGTTAAGCTATCTTCTCGATCAGTAGCGCTGTCGCCATCACTCTCCATATTTTTAAACACTCAGATCACACACAACACAACACAACACAACAAACTCTTACGTAATTTTAAGTATTAATGAAATGTTAGTCGTATCTCGTTTATGATACAAATAAACTAGGAAAATTAAAAAGCTCTTAAGTATTCATTGAAATTCAAATACATACAGCACCCCCGAATTCGTTCGCATAATATCTCCAAGCTGGTACCACGCTATTGGGGGATTTCCCGACGCATAAAACAGTGTTGTCGGTAGAATAAAAGGAAAATACTGTAACGTAAAGAAAGTAAACAATCAAACTCGCTAAAATTATTTTAGTTTATAGATAATCATATTTAGATACGATCTTCATTGGGTATTACGGTGTATTTTGCTACCGTAATTATAATCCTACGGTAGGTGGTAGATCTATGCTGATTACGGTGTTTTTACCGTAATTACGGTGCAGTTGGCAACACTGCGTCCGACGCCTAGCAACTTTTCAACGTGGTAGAGCCATGCTGCAGCTATATTAGTAGTATATTTGTAGCACGAATGGGTCGGCTCGACCGGGGAAGGACCACGCTCTCACAGAAAACCAGCGTAAAATAGCAGCTTAATGCTGCTGTGTTTCGTATGGTGAGTGTAGAGAACCGGAGACCCTTTTTACTGGCAAAGAGGCATTCCATGTTAGTCCTCACGAGTGACAACGCATCTGCATCTTGAGTCTTTATTGAGGATAGATGTAGATGTCTATGGGTCACAGTAACCACTTACCATCAGGTGGATTGTGTGCTCGTTTGTCACCCTATCATATAAAAAAAACAGTTTTAAAATCGAACCGTTTCGAAAATATCGAAGTTTGAATGATAAAGAATGATCGCAACTTTACCCTATTCTGAAGTAAATTAGAACTCAGTTATGTTTGTATTATAAAATTAAATAGGTATAACCTTACCACAGTATCTTGAACTAAGTCCATGTACACTTTGTTGTGATCAGATGGTCTGCCTTGAATTGGAACTTCGTCTTCATTGGTAGAAGGATCAGCAGGAGAAACTAATTGCGAATTTATCAGTTCCGTTATCTTCCTCGACCAACTCTTATCCAATATTCTCCTTTTATTTGATGTTAAATTTAAAAGAATACACAATACTCGACATAAACAAGATAATTAAATAACGGATATTATTATTTATAAGAAAAAGACTTATATCAAAGTATGTTTTTACATTTTGAAAACATTTTGTAAAAAACTGACCGAACTTCTAATGACAACAAATCCTACTTATTACAAAAATACCATGGTATTTTATGAAACACAGGCTTAACTAATAGTTGGTCACCATGATTTTGTCACATTTTTATAAAACACAGACTTAAAACTAAAAAGGAACACAGATAATTTGATATGTTTTGTATTAAACAGATGTAGTCAAAAATGGGTCATGGATTTATGAAAAAATTAAATAAAACTTACCTTAGATTTTTGCACTAAACAGACTCAATTATGATTCGGTCACTTAAAAATACTAACTCCACGTGTTCACTATGACAGCGCCCGACGCATAATGTCCTGTACATACAACTTTATAATTTGTGGCATAATGGTTTGCGCCACTGACTTGTAATAATCATTGTGAAAACGTAATAGAGTGAAAGAGACAGAGCTAGATGACGTTAAAACGAATTTCTTTGTATGCTTCACCAGTTTTGGTCCTGAACCGTAATCGGTCAGTTTATTGTTAAGCGTGCGATATATTTTTCATGTGTTGTTAACTCACCATTAGATGCAGTTGCAGCTGATCGCATTAAAAATTGGTATACACACTACACAGATAGGACAATGTCTGCCAGATTTCGCAGGTTTAATGTTAAGTGGGTATGTTATTGTTTTGCAATATGTATAAAGGGAATTGAGTTTTGTAGATACTGTTAATAATTTTTTTCTTTCTCATCTTTTATTCAAATTATGTGACATAATTTTTTTCCATGAAATCATGTTACAATGAATGGATATTAATGGTACAATAGAGGATATTATTATTAATGATTAACGACAGTGTACGCTGTGTGTGCTGTTTTCGAGAGTCATTACGAATCGTCTTGCGCGCAGACTTGACGACTTCCAGCCTCCCGAACAAGCCGGTTTCCGAAAGGGCTTTAGCACCATAAACCACATACATACCCTTCGGCAAATTGTACAGAAGTCCGAAGAGTACAATTTGCCACTATGTCTGGCGTATGTGGACTATGAGAAAGCCTTTGATTCCGTCGAAATTTGGGCGGTGCTGCAGTCCCTTCAGCGGTGCCAAGTGAACTGTCGGTATATCGAAGTGTTGAAGTGCTTGTACAGTAGGGCTACGATGGCTATCCGAGTACAGAACCAGAGTACGAAACCTATCCAATTGCAGAGAGGTGTAAGACAGGGTGACGTCATATCCCCGAAACTCTTCACCGCTGCATTGGAAGACGTTTTCAAGCTTCTGGACTGAAAAGGATACGGTATCAACATCAATGGCGAGTACATCACTCACCTTCGATTTGCCGACGATATAGTCCTTATGGCAGAATCGCTGGAGGACCTAAGCACTATGCTCAATGACCTCAATAGTGTTTCCCAACGGATAGGTCTTAAGATGAACATGGACAAAACTAAGATCATGTTTAATGTCCATGTCACACCTATGCCGGTAGTTGTTGGGAACACTAAGCTCGAAGTTGTTGACGAGTATGTTTACCTGGGACAAATAGTCCGACTAGGTAAGTCCAACTTCGACCGAGAGGTCAATCGACGGATTCAACTCGGTTGGGCAGCGTTCGGGAAATTACGGCACATCTTCTCGTCAGTTATACCTCAAACCTTGAAAACGAGACTGTACACCCAGTCCGTGTTGCCAGTGATGACATACGGAACTGAGACGTGGTCCTTCACTGCTGGCCGGATTAGGAAGCTCAAGGTCGCTCAGCGAGCTATGGAGAGGGCTATGCTCGGAGTTTCTCTGCGTGATAAACTTAGGAATAAGGATATCCGCAGTAGAACCAGAGTAACCGACATAGCCCAACGGATTAGTAAGCTGAAGTGGCAATGGGCCGGCCATATAGCTCGAAGAACCGACAACCGATGGGGAAGAAAGGTTTTCGAGTGGCAGCCTCGTACCGGTAGGCGAAGTGTAGGGCGTCCCCCCACGAGATGGAGTGACGACCTGGTAAGACATGCAGGAAGTCGATGGATGCAGGTGGCTCAGGACCGTGCTTTGTGGCATTCTTTGGGGGAGGCCTATGTTCAGCAGTGGACTTGTGAAGGGCTGTAATGATGATGATGATGATGACGCTGTGTAAGATACTCGTATATGACTTGCTATCTCATTAGTCTAGTAGTCTTAACCTGTTGATCGTGTGTTCTCGAGTTCAAAATCCTGGTTGGGTAAAAATCAGTCAATTCTTTAGTAACCAAAGGGGGTGGGTTACCGAGATTACCTACATGTATAGATCTAGTCACTTCCATATCTTCAGTCTCGCTTGCACTTGCATACTCCTATGCGTCATAGCAACTAAAGCTGACAAGCATCGTATGTATTGTAATTCTAATGTATTTTGTCAGTTTTGGTATTTCCAATGTAATACCAAAACTGATAAAAAAATGAACTACTTTTTACTTTTCTATGGATATTAGGTCCGAAATCGGCTAAATCAGCGTGAAAATGAATTATTATTCTTTACATTAATCGAAAAAAAAAATTTAAATCTATTAATTATAACTACTAAAATTTGCAGCTGCATCATCAAAAATATTGATGCAAAGGCTGATTTTCTGAAAAATTTATAAATCAATCTTTACCTTTCAAACCACGCAACTTGGGTGTAACACTTAATTTTTTTGAACATTCCTTCCATGGTCTACAACCCCCTTTCGTTTGATCGTTACGTTCTGGGACATCTTGTATATTGAAGTCGGTTGTTCAAAAGTTTTAATTTTTCATTATTAATAAAAAGTAAAAGTAGTGTTCAAAGAAATAAGAAGAATAAAATAATTTCCACATACTACCTTCTGAAGTCGGTGCCGAAAAGTTTTAGTTCGAAACTAAAACTTTTCGGCACCGACTTCAGAAGGTTACACCAATGTTACTCCAATACCACCAATACTCTTTATATACAAATTTTCGCTAAACAGAAAAAGGATGAACCATGAAATATATTTGTGCAGGCAATGAGCTCTCCCGGCAACTGGACCTTTGGCTCTCCAAGGCGGACCTCACACACGGCCCGGCGAGGGCTATCATAGCGCCGTGAGTAGAGTATTCGCGCCTCTTTTATAACAGTGGAAACCCAAACATTTTTATTTACAATTATTAATTGAAAATTGCAATTATAAATGCTAAATTACCCTCTAGCTGGGCGGTGAAGAAAAACATCTTGAGGAAACCTCCTTGTCATAAGGAGGACATGGCAGAGCCATGCTGCAGTTATATTAGTAGTATAGTTGTAGTACAAATAGGTCGACTCAACCAGGGAAGGCCCACGCTCTCACAGAATACCAGCGTAAAATAGTACCTTAACACTTTCGCTGTCCCGTGCACTACATATAGGTCATTGCTATTGTCTTACTATTGTGTCTGAAAACCGGACAGTGAAAGTGTTAACACTGTTGTGTTTTGTATGGTGAGTGTAGAGAACCGGAGACCCTTTTTACTGGAAAATAGGCATTCCATCTTAGTCCTCACGGGTGACAACACATTTGCATTTTGATTCTTTATTGAGGATAGATGTAGATGTCAGTGGGCTTCAGCAACCACTTACCACCAGGTGGACTGTGTGATCGTGTCTCCCTATCCTATGAAAAAAATGTTAAACCCGCCAACATACAGTGGAGCAGCGCGAAGGACTGTCGACTCCATAATCCTCTCAGAGTTAAAAGCTTGTTGCCAACAGTGGAATATCCATAGGTGACTTTACCATTACCCATTGCTGAACATAGGTTTTTGTCATAGATTGCTTTATAGGGGGATATTTGCAATAGTTGCCACGCTAAGTGTAACAGGTAACAGTTATTTTATTTATTATACAGCTGTTCATCAGGAAGATGCTGCTGCCCATCTCCTGGTTCAGTTTCTCTTTTACTTTGGTGTACCACGGGATGATATGGGGTAGTGTGTGATCTTACACCGCCACTACACGGTAAATATATGTGACTTTATTGTCTTTCAATTTTGCATACATATTTACAGGCATGCTGGGTATTCGTATTGCGGTGCATGCGCAGCGTACGCCTACAGACAAGTTAGCCCTGTTGTAGTGTAAGTATCTAATTTTAAAATAAAAATTGTAAAATTTCTTTACTTTTCTCATGTCGTATATTGCACCGGCTCTCTTAGCTACTAACCAGAGACTAAATTTTAATTGATTTCTAGTTTAACTTCGTGTATTTTTATCGCAATTACCTACATTAGTTTTTGGCTCATTCAGAGTTCTAGAGTTGGGGCGGAGCATGAATCCTTTTCTGTGATATTTTTAAACAAAACTTCATCTATCAAAAGCCGTTAGATCATTTTAATATTAATCTTAAAATTTTGTCAAAAATTTGTTTTTAATCTGATCCGTCTCCTTCCAGCAAACGGATCTTCATTTTAGGCCCCTCCCACCACGTAAGGCTCGGTGGTTGCGCCCTTTCTTCCCTCGACAAGTACCAGACACCGCTCTATGATCTCACCATAGACAAGCAGAGTAAGTGAAATATTTGGATGGTATCAATAAGCACATGTTAGTCAATGACTGCTGTGTCTAGAATACGTCACATAAAGTATAGGGGAAATTAATATAACAAAACCAATGTTTTTTTTTTTTTGTGAACTGTGTCCACCCGAGCAAAGCCACGGAAAAAGCTCATAACATCGAGCATTATACAGAGTTATATTTCAATAATTAGCCAAAGGAGATGAAGTTAGTTCCATGCAAACTTGGGCCCGGCGTGAACAAAGTTCAAATATATCTTATTTTGAAGATTTAACCATTTGCTACTTATGACAGAATATCACACACTGGACACTGGCATTTTGTTTTGTTTTTTTTTTTTTTTTGAGTAGGATACATATTCATACGTCTGCTTTTAGACTTATGTTAAAATATATAAATTATGTTATACCGTTATTGCAATTTTTGAAAATACGTGTAAATAAGGCTTCTACTTTTATTTCAAATTATCCCAAATTTAATGTGATTTATGGGCAACTTATTACACGTACGCGCGCTCTTCTGTGTGCGATTCCATTGACAACGTTTTCGCCGATAGATCGACCTTTACGAATGTGTGCGTGAATTTTTAATTTAAAAGATAAAAAGGACTACATTTTTGAGATTTGTTTAACGAATTTTTCTTTACCGTTTGTCTATATTACATACTCTGAACCTTCTTTGCAAAGCCGTATATTGCGAAATGATTCTGTCTACTAGCCGTGCTAGCTCCAAGCGTCCTTAAAATTGTTACTTGCAATTTTAAGAACCGATAATATGCTACATTCTCCATCGTGCAGGATAACATTGTGAAAAAATCTGCATCATTGAAAATTTAAAAAAAAATCGAGGATATGTTGAGTCTGTAAACACGCATTGGGTCAGCGTGGAGGACCTCTTCCTTTCCGTATATCCGCCTCAGTAGTGGAATGAGAGGAGGCCAGTGTCCAGTAGAACATGTATTAAAAATAAATAATGTCCCCCAGACCGCAGGACGGAATTATAGTGCACGAGTGTGTGCGCAAGTATAGGTGCACTCTCTATTCACTCTCATAGTCCGATGAGACGGCAATCTCATATCTCATCTCAGAAAAATTTCTTGGCAGAAAATCTTAATAACTGATTTTTTGGTCCGACTCGGGATTCGAACCCTGGACCTCATGGTCAGCAGTCGTGTTTACGGCCACTAGAACAACGAGTCAGTATAGAAATAGCGAACGAACGGATAAAAAATATATTGAGTTTATGACTCCACTGACGTGTGTTCACAATTCACCCGTGTATTACAGTATACGCGGAGCTAGAAGCAACACGTCAGTTTGAATGGATGGACGTGCAGACCGACGAAGATGAGCACTCAATCGAGATGCACCTCCCTTACATTGCTAAAGTGATGGAAGAGTAAGTCAGTTTTATACTTACTAACTTTGTGATCCCGTGAGGAAACCTGAAACCTAAGGAATAAAAAAATATATTTTAAGGACGTATGAACACTTGACAGGGGGATATTGACCCTTATTATTTAGATGTAAAGACTAATTTCCCTTACATTGTCGTAATTTCTAATATATACAAAAAAAAATTGAAATGTCTGTTTGTAATGTCAAAAGCTTTTTACTAAATGCATATGAAAGTATATACGGTACATGAAACAAAAACACAATTTTTAAAATTTTTGTCTGTCTGTCAGTCTGTCTGTCTGTCTGTTTGTTCCGGCTAATCTCCGAAACGGCTCGACCGATTTAGACAGGACTTTCACTGGCAGATAGCTGATGTTATAAGGAGTAACTTAGGCTACTTATAATTTAGAAAAAGAATTAGGGTTCCGCGCAACATAATTAAAACCCTAAATTACACGCGGGCGAAGTCGCGGGGTACAGCTAGTGTAATATCATCCACTCCATCAATTGTCGTCTTCAATTTAATCCACCGCCGTTTAAAAAAAATACACACACCATCGCTTCAGCCCATCACAAGTCCACTGCTGAACATTGGTCTCCCCCATAGGTTGCCACAAAGACGGTCTTGAGCCACCTGCATCTATCGACTACTGCCTGTATGTTTCACAGGTCGGTCACATCATCAAGTGAGTAGTCGTTCAACACTTCGTTTGCCAGTACGAGCTTTCCACTCTATACACTTTTCTCCAAACCGACAACCAGGTCTTTGAGCTATATGGTGGGCCTATTGCTACTTCAGCCTATTGATCTGCTGGATTGTGTCAGTTACCCTTGTTTTTCCACGGATATCCTCGTTACGGACGTTATCCCGTATGCCGCGGCCACACACATCGCGATAGCGCGAGTATTCGCGTTATCGCAATAAATATAATGGCTTCGTGAATACTTCGTCACTTCGTGCGAAGTCGCAAGGACATCGCTTCGCTGTCGGTAAATTCTCGCACTTCGAAGGGTTTTATTGCGATGGACTTCGCGTGTGCCAAGTGTGGCCACTTTAGTCTGCCCACAGACATTGTGCGTAGCGGATGTGTTAAAGTAAAATTAGGGTTTACGACGTACTTCCGACATGGATTAGTGTAATAAAAAAAATTGGAATTTATAAGTAATTAAGATTCAAAGCCGATATTATTTATATATTTATTCTTATTTTTTAAAAACTGATAATAATAAAAAATAATTATTCGCTGCCATATACAGAGCGACAGTGGCATCCATTTTGGGTTTAGCATGCGTTTAGCGCGATAAAATTTATAACGCTCAGTGTGGCCAGGCACCTTCGCGGTTGGCCGAAAGCGAAGTTTTATCGCGATAATTCCATCGCGATGTGTGTGGCCGAGGCAGTAGAAAAGTTTAAGGTATAGCCTTTCGCCTTTAGCCCTAGCCATCGCAGGCGAAGTGACTTTGAGTTTCCTTATACGGCTAGTAAAAAAATTAAGTTACAAAATTCGTATAAAAAGAGTTATTATAATATAAGGAATTTATGGATAATAATAACCCCTAGGTATGAGGTGGTCGCTACCAAGCTATTTCTATATGATTTGTGCAGTTAGTTGTACAAGAGAATACGTGATTGTAAACTGTTCGTTTAAAAAATGTCTCGCTGTGTTTCTTGCTGGTTCTTCCCACGTCAGAGGTATTTTCCGAACCAGTGGTAAATTGTTAAACCAGTGGTAACCAGAGGTATTTTCCGAACCAGTGGTAAAAAAAAAGGTGAACGGCATAGTCGGGAAGGGCCGCCCTAGGCGAAAGTTTATCGACCAAATTGGCGATATATTAAAAATGGGCCAAATCAAGAGTACCTTTAACCGACGAGCGTGTATGCGTAGGTATATGGATGTGGAGGAAGCGAGAGAGGTGTGTCAGGATCGTGCCAAATGGAAGTCCATAATCTCTGCCTACCCCTCTGGGTGACAGGCGTGAGTGTTTATGTTTATGTTATGTATGTTTATATGTATGTTTAAATTATACATAAGAATGACTTTCAAGAAGTATTATTTATAATATAAGTAATTTATAATGAATACAAAAATATTATCTTATAATCTACGAACAACACAATTTCAGGTACAAAACCGGTTTTACGATCATACCAATTTTGGTTGGATCGTTAACACCAGAAAAAGAAGCGAAGTAAGTACTGTTTAATATACTACTTTCCAAAACAATATATTACTTTAGCTGTTATGTTTTTAATACTTTAAATTGGTGATGATCCGGCAATCCGCCATAAATAGAAGATTCGTATTCGGATCCGTTTCATCCTTTTGTAAATAATGTTTTTACTTATCCTTTGCATATGTACATTTTTATGATTTTAAAGCAAATAGAAGTAATTAGAAATTAAATATGTTGTTGATAACACATACACACGCACACACACACGCACGCGCACACACAGGCACGCACACACATACACACACACACACACACACACGCACGCACGCAAGCACGCACACACATATGCTCGTACACGTACGCACGCGCACGCACGCATTCGTCACATACGGTACTGTACACATGCACACATAGAGAGAGATAGAGATTATATTTGATTATAATATGAATTATACGGATATGAATTCGCGGTTTGAAATCACCATGACGGGCGGCACAGCATAATATAAACGTACTGTCATCACCAGATACGGTGCAATCCTGGCCCCGTATTTGGCGGACCCACAGAATTTGCTGGTGATTTCCTCCGACTTCTGTCATTGGGGTTCACGCTTCCGGTACACGTGGCGCGACTCCTCGCGGGGACACATCTATCAAAGCATCGAGTGGTTGGATAAACAGGTGGGTTATGTTTTTAAAGTGAAAACTTCTATATCTTATATATCTAAGTAGTTGTGATTGGAAACTCTATGAAACGAAAAAGCGACATTAATAAAACAGAAACATTACATCGTCTTAGTCTCTCGAATAGCTTACATAGTATTCTTCTCATTCTCTCGAAGCTTAATTTTTGAAGTTTTAACTTCTACCGCGTGTGAACTGCACACATGTTTTTTTATACAACTGAATTTTTTTTTATTATCCAATACGTCCCGTAGGATTCGTAAAAGGCGACAGAGGGGAAACAAACCCCGAGATGGCCAGCAGCGTGTTCCTTATAACAACTAGAAAAATAATTGCGGTTACCATCCTGCCTTCAAAGCGTGGCAACTATGGCGTATATCCCCCCCCGAAGACAAATGATATGGAGTAGGACTTTTGATACACTGTAACGGTGAACGAACTTAGCCAACCTGGTAGTGTACGTAAATTTAAGTCACTACTGTAGTCTATAGACACCAGCAGTGCTTTTACGTGGTAGAAACATGCTGCAGCTATATTGTGGTTGCAGCACGAATGGGTCGGCTCGTCCGGGGTAGGAACTAACTCTCACAGAATACCAGCGTAAAATAGCAGCTTAATGCTGCTGTGTTTCTTATGGTGAGTGTAGAGAACCGAAGACCCTTTTTACTGGAAACGAGGCATTCCATCTTAGTTCTCACGACTGACAACGCATCTGATTTTGATTCGCAAACGAGGATAAATGTCTATGGGCCACAGCGTCCACTTACCGTCTAGTAGACTGTGTGCTCCTTTGTCACCCTTATACTATAAAAAATGTGTCATTTGTTCATTTCTAGTGGCCCGGTCATTCAAGTATTGATTCGTTTCACGAACGGGGTCATTCGGGTCGATCATTCAAGTGGATCATTTCGAGTTTCAGTACTCTGTGATCTACGAGACCCGCTCGATAACGTCGGTTGTCGGACATTACTATACTGTTTGTTACTTTAGGACCTACGACCCGGGTCAAATTAACGAATCGTTCACGATTGACACATGTCTACGACAGAGGGAACTGAAACGGGACATGGGCAGCAGCATCTTCCCCATAACAACTAAAAATATTAAAAACTGCGGTTGAAACCCGCCTGTCTATTGTGGCAACTATGTTAAATATGGAGATATTATATAAAATCCATAATAATGTATACTGTTACATTTTTTTTTGTTAAATATTCTTTAGCACCCACGGAAGATCAGCGTGGAATTACTCTGTTACCAACAAGACTGATGACTGCTGAATTACTTAGTAATAGAACTTGAGTTAGTTAGTAACCCTTTACCAAATCTAAAATAATGTTAACGGTGTAAGCAAATTGCTATAATGGATTACAAAATAAACTTTCTTTCTTTCTAAAGAGATGGCCTATGTTCAACAGTAGAGTTAGTTATTTGAATGTTTTGCTTCTAACAAGAATTTCGTGATTTCCAGGGTATGGACATCATAGAGAAGATGGACCCACGCGCGTTCACCGACTACCTCAACAAATATGGTAACACCATATGCGGCCGACATCCCATCGGAGTACTATTGCAGGTATTTGTATAAACATTGCTTAACTTTTTAATTCCCAACGTTTAGGGTGTTTTACAGCACTTATGGTCACGGGGTGGGGGGTGGGGGCTGAGGTGTTTTACATCCCGATGTCATAGTTAATCCTGCTAAATATTATATTTTTTTTAAAGTTGAAGGTATCCTGAAACGTTACGGCACGGGAATTAAAAAGTTAAAACATAATTTATAAAAATACCCTCATAATGTCATTCCTATTTATTTTTATTTTAGTTTTATATTAGCGTTAAATAGTGTACCCTTCACCAGTCCGCTGCTGAATATAGAACTCTTTTTTTATAGGATAGGGTGACAAACGAGAACACAGTTCACCTGATGGCAAGTGTATGCTGTGGTTTATAGACATTTATCACATAACATACATATCCTCGATTAAGTATCAAAATGTAGATGCTTCGTCAGCCGTGAGGACTAAGAGAGAATGCCTCGTTTCCAGTAAAAAGGGTCTCCGGTTCTCTACAGTCACCATACGAAACACAGCAGCATTAAGCTGGCTATTTTATGCTGGTATTTTACCCCGGTCGAGTCGACCCATTCGTGCTACAACTTTAATATGTCTGCAGCGTGGTTCTACCACGTTGAAAACCGTTACATGTTGCTTACTCGACGACCGTTCTCATTATACCAAATAATTATCTTTTTTCAAATAAATAAATGATTAAATATTTGTTATAGGCGATAGCTAAACTGCGGAGCCAGCCAAACGCTCCAAAAATGTCCCTTCAGTTCCTCAAGTACGCACAATCGTCGCAATGCATGAATCACCAGGACTCCTCAGTGTCCTACGCAAGTGCCTCCCTTGTTTTCGAATAAAAATAATATGTAAAACCATAGAGTACTAATAAAAACTTTATTGAAAAATAAAAAAATCGTTGAAGTATAAAAATTTAAAAAAAAGTGACAGCCTGTATTTGAAAGTATAGAAATTGTTATTTGGGAGTAGAAACAACTTTTAAGGTAAATTCAGAGCGGTGTTCGAATGTCAGCCTTCCCTTTCTATTATTAATGTACAAAAAATATTTACATTTTAGGCATAATAAAATATTCAAACTTGACTGTACTTTTATATATCTTAACAGATCCCTTCCAGATTTTTTACTGTAGGCGAAATTTACGTCCAATAAAAAAAAAAGTTCTATGATGTTTGTACCTTCTCACGTTCTTAATGATAGTTTTTTAATTAGCATGATTTTTTTTTGGTTCTTCTAAGATTTTCATAAAAGAATAAACGGACAACTAACGTAGAAGTTATTATATTTTCTACAAAATTTTCATCTTTCACTATAGTATTGTTTTAACAGTGTCACAAAAGTTTCAGAAGTATCAAATGCCTCCTCAGTACCGCATAAGAAATGTTTGACACATATTTACAAATGAATATGGAGCGTATTTAAAAAAAAAAGATTTTTAAAAAAACACTACTGAGGCACAGTTTAACTATCCTGTATATCAAAGCTATTATGTAAGGAGTTTTCTAATTTTTTTTATTAACTAAAAATAGGCTTCGTAAATATTATTATAATTATAAATATAACCAACATCTTTTTAATGTTATTTGATAATTAATAACTTGCAACCTTCAGTTTTCACATTTATTTATATTTTAAGCAGATAGTTTTAATATATTAAAAATTAGGTATTGGAATATCAAAGGCATCTCTTTATTTATAGATTTTAAGTTTTAAGATAATATTCTGTTCTCGTGCATGCAATAGATTATATATAAATTATTTTAAAAACATGTAACTGGCAACAGTTTACTTAAAAAAACATATAAGGCAAAGATCCTGTTGGGATAAAGCTCACGTTTTGATCACATTATCAACACCAACTGTTTCCGTAAATACTGAACAGTTTCATTATTATCTTTAAATAACAAAGTGTGAAAGAAAACGTTCTGAATAAGTTGTATTTTGCATTTTTTTTTAAATTAATCTTTGAAACTGAACGGGGTTTTGGCGGGAACTGAACCGCCGACGTTTACTTCGTGTTACTTTTATATTATCTCGGTTTTAAGTGAAGAAGTGGTGCAATTTTTTGTAATTTTTTTTTTTGTTAATTTTTTGTCTGCACATGTGAACTATTAAATAAAAACGATGTTTCAAGTGCTTCGATGTCTATAGATCTCAAGATTTTTATATCTGATTGGGCGGCTTGAGATATCATCGTCTTCAACTGTCCAATAGCTGTCGTCAATATCTCCCAAAAACTTTGCAGTCACGCATATTGTGAAGAATTTTGTGAAATTTTGTTTCGGGCTAGACAGATCTTTAATGATGTTTTCATGTTCAAATTTTAAAAAAATAATCTGAAGTTATATAAGTATAGATTTTTTATTTACAGACACAATGTATATAAATCTATTTGCATGTTAATAACCCTGGGCTTAGCTGAGAATTTGTATTAACATAACAAAAATTCTAAAATATTTACAAAGAAAGAGTGTGTGCTAGCGTAAAGGTTGTGTAGGTATTTCTTAAGCTCAGACCTCACTTTATAATATTAAAAATAAATAAAGAGTACAAAATTTTTTCATTTGATGTCGGTATTCATGTCGTACACAAATGACCAGCGTAAGTTGAACTAAATTCAAAATGGTAAATAGCAACAATTTAAGGTAACATCCAGTTGCCATTTCGTGAAACAATTCTATCAATTCAAGGCATGAGTTAATTAGAAGTAGAGGGAGGGTAATGTAACCAGCGTGGTTTTTGGTGTGAAAAATTCTAAACTATAGCCTGATTTAAAAGGTAGTTTCGGTTAGTATTTTTCATTATTTGTTGTAAATTGTAATGCGGATATTTTCAGTCTCAAATAAAAGCATTTATTTTGTACATGTGTGTAACAGAACCTTAATTAAAATTTATTTGCTACAAATGTGTTTCATTTACTAACTGTCCTGAAAAACTTAAGTTCAAATATATAAATAATGATATGCCGTTATTGCAGTTTTAGAAAATACGAGTAAATAATGCTTCTACTTTTATTTGAAGTTATCTCAAATCGAATGTGATTTATGGGCAACAACTACGCGCTCCTCTGTGTACAATTTAATTTACAATGTCTTTTTTTTGCCTACCTACTAAAATAATGCATTATTACCACGCCTTTTGAATTTAAATGATAAGAAGGGCAGAATATTAGAGATTTTTTTTATAATTTTTTTTTTCAAAATTGCTTATATTACGTATTCTGAACCCTCTCTGCAAATTTGACTTGTTATTTCAAAACAACCCTGTATATAGGCGTGGCAGCTTCGGAACTGATAGCGCTATTTAGGCTTTTTAGGTTTCGTTTGTGGCGCGATGATGTAAACGTTGCGTATGCTAGTGATTGTGTAACTTCTGAATCTTCGTGCGACGTTACCAAACCGCTGTGCGGGGTAAGCCAAAATGGCTGTCGGCGCCGTTACGACAGCACCGACGGTGTTTGCGGGGAGTATGTGAAGTGCGGGGGGTTTCTCACCACCGCGCCTAAGACCGGCACTTGCCGATAGCTCGCGACCCGATCGCCGCCAAATATTTTGTATTTTTCATTCCTTTTAAACGGCGCCGACAATGGCTACGATCGTTATTTCTACAGAAAACGTTAAAACTAGCATTATTGAGCAGACCGTAGCAGAGGTAGCCGTGGCGGATGGGAAAAAGTGTTTCGAAAATTGGTTCAGGCGTTCAAACTTTGTATAGATGCTCGTGGAGAGTTGTTTTAAAAGATTTCAACCATAAAACATTTATTTTCGCAAAACTTTCTGAGTGACTCTCCTTTAATATATCTGTGGTTGTTTTATTTGTCACGAATATGATTGATAAATATATGATTTATATAATCTATAAATTGACACCTGTTTATAATTTGACGCAAAATTTTCAGCGTATTTATAAATTTTAAAACCTTTTAAAAACAAATCTCTAGTGGATAAATTGTCTAGTATGTAAAAATAATTTAAGTGAATAGTCCATTTGAACGACATAATGAATAATGTAAACACAAAATTAAAACAGTTTGTGAACAACAACAAATTAGAGTGTAAGAAACTAAACGAAAAATATAAGTCCTGGTATCAACTTGATTTATATACAAATAATAATAATACATCGACAAAATGTAACAAATACGTCCCGGGAAAAGATTTCGTTCCGAAACTTATAAGTACGAGAAATGTCGAAACTAAAATCGATGAATCCCTAACAGCGTTTGAAGCCACCGCAAAAAATACTAACAATTTGAACATTTACAAGTATAAAGCAAATTTTGTAATTAATGTTTTATTAATTTGCATTATGTTGGTTATTGTTATATACAGTACATTTTTCGTCTCAATGACAAAACTACATCAAGAAAACATAAGTGTGAAAAGTGAAATTGATAGTAGATTTTAATAATTGCAGTATAATTTAATAAATAGGTGCGTTTTGTTAAAGATTTTTAGCTTGTAAACGTTATCCAAATAAAAATTTGTTATAAATGTTTACTTATATTATTTATTAGTTGTTTCCAGTAACTTCGTTCGCGTGGAATTTATACGATTGGATTTTATGAGTTTCAATTTCTTTATTGCGCGAAACCCTAATACTTTTTCTAAAATAGAAGTAGCCTAAGTTACTCCTTATAACATTAGCTATCATCTCCTAGTGAAAGTCCCGTCAAAATCGGTCCAGCCGTTTCGTAGATTAGCCGGAACAAACAGACAGACAACATTTGAAAATAGTGTTTTTGTTATAATATACTTTCATATGCATTTAGAAAAAGCTGTTATTTTTACATTACATACAGACACTTCAATTTTATTTTATTGTATAGATCTACCATAGGCATTTTGAAAAATAATGTAGGAAGTAGGTTTTCGCTATGTATTGGCGTTGTAAGCGAGTCCACGAGTTTGCCCTATTGTGGAGGTGGTTTTCACTATTTATGTATATAATGTACGGGACAGGTATATTTACCATTGTGTAAGTGTATATAACCACCAAATAGCGTAAACATACCAAACGACAACGGAAGCCGTAATTACGTAAATTTCGAAATACTCCAGTATAGAAAGAACATGCTACCTAAGTACAACCACACGGAACATTTTAGGCAAAGAGTAGTCCGAAATTCTGTCCTGAAGACAGCGCCGTCTCTTACCGACTGTGGAACTGTGGACTGTGGAATCGTTTACTATCATCGATTTTTCTGCAATTCGACTGGTGTTGCGGTTATTCATGGAAGGCGGTCTACACTCACCATCAGATGATCAGCATGCTCGTCTGCCCGTTCTTACATACAAAAAGTGACTTCCGGTAGGTATTTTTATTTATTTAATTCATAAACTTGTGGCTTACAGAAAATCCAACACGCGCACAAGGTTAAATTTACATGCAAAATTATTTTTCTGAAATAGTATCCATCCATAACAACAAAAATTGGTTGCCGGTCCCAAGCCCGGATGAGAAAGGAGGAGGGGACGAATCCGCCGGAGAGAGTGGGTGTATCCGGTGGACTAACACACCCACCTGCGCTAGGACCTGCGCAGTCGAGCGCCGTACGCGGGGATGAAGGAGTCCTGGAGGGTTGAGCCGATCGTCGCTGGGGTATATAGTGGCGAGAGGCAACACGCCCTCTTTGGTCCGGATTTCAAGCTAAACGGTGGCCCTATCTGCTAGCCACAGATAGGGAAATGGCCAAGCGCCCCGTCAGAGGGTCGCAGGCGAGGGATGTGGGGGCTGCCTAGTCTTCCTGAAAAGGGGGCTGGGTGGTGGTAAAGGCCATGCTGACGGAGCAAGTGACAGTTTATTCGGGTGGTGGGGATGGGCCTTGTCAGCCCCATCTAC